GTGTGTGTGTGTGTGTGTGTGTGTGTGTGTGTGTGTGTATATATATATATATATATACACATATATAAAGACTAATAATAGTATGTTATGCATCAATAGCAGCAACAGCTTTTCCAGGTTCTGCAGTTGTCTGAACAAAATTATAGACATTCAGCACATTCCATTAAAAAAAAAACCCAAAAAAACCAAAGAAAAGAATAATATCCAGAGAACAGTGAAGTTCTGTTGCTGCTGTGGTACCTGGCACCATTTTTTCTATTAGCCTCTTAATCATTGTCTGGAAAGACAACATTCTAGAGTAATATCATTAAATGTAGCTCTGATAAAGGGGTAGCAATCTTATTTGCAGACAAAGTAAATTTCAAACCAAAACTGAATCTAGTATTATTGATGTAGGACAGTACTGTATCATGCCTCTATGAATGTGAAATATCTAGTGCCTGCTTTATGATACATAGCAGAGTGATGAATTTAACACACAAATTATGCTGAGGCCCACTGTGGAGTTATTCTAACAGTTTGCTTAACTCAATTAGTTAACAGCCCTTTAAGTGTCCAAGGATTTCCAAGACAGTTTCCTGAAAATGCCACCCACACTTGTACAGGGTGACAGGAACCCTCAAACAGCTGGCCTTCGTGCTTTAACACAGACTTACTTCGCATGCAGCGTCGACTGTGGTTTTCATCTTGCACTCCTCCATTCTTAGAAGATGATCCACCTGAATTTAGGTACAACCTGTTCATAATTTGAGAGTATACTTTTTATTTCTTCATGATTCCAATATTAACAAGCCATTTCAATGGAAAAATCCTATCAAAACTATGGAATCTGAAAAACAAAATAAACAAGTAAAAACCCCAAATGTAAGGAAATTAGTCCTACATATTGTGGACAGAAAATGTAAACAACCATGAAGACTATCTCCTTTTTGGAAATTAATAAAACTCACCAACCTAATACTACTAGAAACATAACTATACTAAAAAAATTAGATTTACTATTCTATCTCAGAAAGTAAAAAAACTTCTAGCAGAACGATTGAGGAACTCAGAGGGGGAGGACTTTGTTATTCGAGGGAGGATTTTAAGGAGGGCTCTTGGTAGATGGGAGGAATTCCAGATTGTATGTTTAAAAATATAGGCAATTATGGATTGTATCTTTTTAAATCTCAGAAATATGAATAGCTATAGCGCATGGTTAACATCTATAAAGAAGAAACAATTACTCATGTTGCTGGAAGAATTAAATCTCATTGACTCTTCTTTATCTTGATTCAGACTTTGCCACAGGATGGTATGTGTATTGCTTAAATTCAACAAGAGGTCTTATGCTCAACAGGGAGCAACATGGATCAATTGCTGGTGACAATTTTAAAAAAATCTCTCACTATACTCTTTTGGCCAACGTCAGAGGAGATCAACCTGCAAAACATTCATTTGTGCACTCCAGTTAAACGATGGTCAGAATGAATGTTATCGATTAGGAGGTTGTTCAGAAAACAGCCTGTAGTTTTGAAATTATTTTTGGTTTGAATATTTCCTTTGTTAAAAATACTCTGTTGAATTATGTCATAATGGCTATCGAGTAGTAATAAAAACTATAAATTTGGTGCATTGAACAAGTTCGATATCCATATCTCAGAGATATAACGTTGAACCAAACCCAGAATGCAGAAAGTGACACAATACCATTTATATAAGCTTCGGGTATACTCTCCAGTAAGATACATTATTTAGAATCCATTTAAGTAGTAATAGTATAAAAACATAAATAGTTTTGGGAACGATGCAATTGATTTCTAAAGGAATGAAAATACTACGTGGGAAAGGCACAAACAAGGCTGCTTGCTTTTGTTAATATTTTATTTCTTAATGTTGATTCCATATTCATGGATTGTGCTCTATTTTTTATGAATTTTGTTTTAACAAAGTAGATTACATAAAAGTTAGTTAGATTTGGTCTGAAAATACGATAATTGATATGGGATAATATGATAATATGATGATTTGATAAATATATATGTATTTATTCTACATAATATTATCTACACAATCTTCCCATTTTGTAATACTATCCTTTTAATATAATTTATGCTCATATAAACTGCATTTGTGTTGATGCAATTCCTTTCAAATAATTGTCTACTCACACATCATAACCTTCTTGTTTAATATGTAAGAGTTCTATAATTCATGATTTTTGGTGGGTCAAACATTGCTTTGTCATAGCTTTATCTTTAGATATATATTCTTTCTATTGCATTTAATTATGATTTTGTCAAGACTGTATAAACATGAATCATTGATATTTGTCTGGACTTCTCCCAAATTTTATAAATTCATAAAGTAGGAATATCCTTCCCACATAGTTGGATTTTGAAATTTTATATATGCAGGGGGAAAAAATCAAGTAAAAGCCAAGGTAGGATACACTTTTTTGTTTATTTAAAAAAAATTTTTTTTTGTTACCAGGGATCGAACTCGGGTCCTTGCGCTTGCAAGGCAGGCCACCGAACTGCTGAGCTAAATCCCCGGCCCCTTTAGTTTATTTTTAAATGAATTTACTTATTTGATAATTTATCCATTCATTTATGTTATGAATGTTATATTTATTCATTACTTATTGTATGCCTACTCCATACCCAACATGACAAAAGTGACTGTATTGTAAGATTTGGGGAAAGAGTAAACTCAGTGAGGAAAGAGGTCAAGGAAGAAATCCTCATTGTTTGTTTTTAAATCTGCAACAAGCGAGTTTACTACAAATTGTGCTGTGATTGTGTGTATCCTTTAAAATTTAAGCATTCAGTTACAGCTTCCAAGAAGAAAGGGGTTGTACACATGTCAGAAAGAAGGAAGGAAGAAGGATTATTTTCTGTCACTACCTACTATTGTCACCTACCTGCCATTGTCACCTGTCAGGACCACCTGGAACCAAGAGGAAAGACATGATAGAATCCCAGATTTCTGAATGTTGTTAAAGCATGGCTTCCTTCAGAGGAAAGCTATATACATGCTGTGAGTTTGTGTCTACACTCAAGTGTATCTGAGTCTTACAGAAGTTTCCATGAATGTATTATTTTCATAAGCCATTTAATTTGCCATTCACTTTCCTCTGCTCTTTCTTCCCTCTTACCCAAATCTCACCAAGTCTTTCTACAGGGCCTGGCTATAGCAGAATTTGCACTATATCAGGAATTAGAATCTGGCTCTCAGAGTCATACTTCTATTGAGTTACTTTGGTTGGTCTTCTGCATTTTGCAGTGGTTTTGGTAAAGTGCTTTTAAAAAATTTGAATACCTTTGTTTCCTCTGAACTTATGTAAAAAACTATCTGCCCACAAGTGGACCTAGAAACTTGGGTGGGGTGGGTCTAGAAGGAAAGAGGTTGTCAGGACAGAGAGTGATGGACTACAGACACAACACTGGAGTGCATGAAAGGCCAAGCCACTGATCTGAGACAGAGGTTGGAAGGGAAAGACAGAGGCTAGAGACTATTATTATTATTATTTTATTATTAATTTTGGTAGGATGCTCATCAGTAAGGGTAGTAAGTCCTTTTCCACCTCCGGAATGATTACTCCAGAAGTCAGTGTGTGATAAGAGGCACACATACTCAGATGGTGACTTTTGTGACACAGGCTCACATGTCCCCGTCTCAGAGAGTGTACCCATTATTCCACCTCTGTGGTGAGAGAATCTGCAATTAGAAAAATGTTGCATGTAATGCGCTATTATTAACTTTTTGTTTGCATTTTCGCATTTTTATTTTAGGTTCCAGATATGGGTAATATCACGTAACATTTCTCTTTCTGTGACTGGCTTATTTCTCTTAGCAGAGTTTTTCCTAAGTCTATCTCTGTGTTGTTGTGAATGTCACTATGTCCTCCTTTTTTTTTTTGGTACCCTGGGATTGAACTCGGGTCCCTGCTCTTGCAAGGCAGGCTAGTGAACCGCTGAGCTAAATCCCCAGCCCTAACTCCTCCTATTTTAAGGCTGATATACTTCTCCTCCCCCTTCATCCACCGAATCAGCTTTGAATTTAGCCACTCTTTTCCTAGCTCCTCCAAAACTAGCAAAGACTGAATATTCTGAGAATCTCTCAGATCAATTAGCCTCATCTCCTGGGAGACCAGGCCACCTCCAGGATCAGTTGTACACTTAATGGTAGCGGTGACTTGTGTATGAGGTGCAGAATAGCAAAGAGCTAATCTTGATACCCCGGGAGACACTTGTTCGGTTACTTAAAGGGCTCCTTTATGGATCCTCAGTGCCTGAGAGTGAGGAGTGAAGAGATGCGGGGCCATGAGTGTGGGCATCCCTGCGGATGTTTGCTGAAATATACGTTCACACGCATGTGCCTGCTCCCTGGAACACATCCACAGCAGGTGTCTGGGACCAGCTGCCCCCTCTCCTACTGCCTCACTTCAGGTGAGTGGTTCTCCGTGAGGGTGGGCTTCGGATTCCCATGCTAGCAGGCTGTTCTCTGAGCCGCGGCTTTGCAGTATCCCGCTGCCTAGTTCACTTCACCACAGTGGCAAAGCTCTCATCAAAAAAAGATCCTTTCTCTCTCAGGTGTCTCAGAAAATGTGTTTTCTGAACTTCTGAATGTAAGATTTCCTTATAAGCTTTGCAGTTAGCTTAATTTTTTTTTTTTGTATTTTTAACCATTTTTGTTTTGCAGACTTCAAATAATATTTTTAGTGGAAACATCTTTAAAATATATAAATGGGTTAAGATGTTATTTTATTAAGAAATTAATTTGTCTTCAATAAAAACATTCATTATAAAATATACTCTCATAGATATTGATGGTGTTATACTACATCGCTCCTCCTGTCAGATTACAGTACACTGCTGTACTGTATATACAATTATGACTTCATTTTCGTGTATCTTAGTGTTCCAGTCCTTATTTTCCAGTCTGTAACTCTTGAATTTTAAAACTGAAGCTCAGTTAGTTTCCTCTGCTCCCCTCAGGTACTCCACGAGGGTGCCACCATGACCACTTGCAATGGCACCGGCCGCCCCTCTTTCTTCATTCTCCAAGGCATCCCTGGGATGGAAGACAAACACAGGTGGATCTCTGTCCCCTTCTCTTCCATGTACTTCATCACCGTGCTGGGGAACCTCACCATCCTCTTCACCATCTCCACGGAGCGCTCCCTGCATAAGCCCATGTTCCTGCTCCTCTGCTTGCTGGCCCTGACGGACCTGGGCATGTCCACAACCACGGTTCCTAAGGCACTGTGCATCTTCTGGCTCGGCCAGAGTGAGATCAGCTATGAAGGGTGTCTGGTCCAGCTGTTCTTCATTCATTCCATTTCTGCCATGCAGTCAGCTGTCCTGACCTCCATGGCCTTTGACCGCTACGTGGCCATCTGCAAGCCCCTGCACTATGCCACCATCCTTTCCAACAGCCGCATTGGGCTCCTCAGCCTCGTCAGCTTGGTGAGAGCCATCCTCTTTGTTCTTCCCATGCCCATCCTCCTCCAGCACAAGCCCTTTCATGCCAACCGTGCCATCCAAGCCACTTACTGTGAGCATATGGCTGTGGTGAAGATGGTGTGTGTGGACACCACAGTCAACCGGATGTACGGCCTGGTGGTGGCTCTGCTGGTTGTTGCGCTGGACATCTCAGCCATTGCTTCGTCTTATGTGCTAATCATCCAGGCTATAATGCGTCTCTCTTCAAAAGAAGCCCACCACAAAGCTGTCAATACCTGCACCACACATATCTGTGTCATGCTGATCTCTTACACTCCCTCACTTTTCTCTTTTCTCACTCACCGCTTTGGCCGAGGCATTCCAGCCCACGTCCACACGATTCTTGGCAACCTCTATTTTCTTGTACCTCCAATGCTCAATCCTATTATTTATGCTGTAAAAACAAAGGAATTTTGGAACAAAGTGACCAAATATGGTTTCTGCATGAAGGGGCTCATGAGCATTTCCCATAGTCAGAAACTTGTTTGATAACCCAGCAACTGTGAATCTAAGAAGAAATGTTAAGTATATACAGTTTTGGGGAAATTTGTCTTATGGTAGAACTATGCCATGCTGACACTGACAGATTAGGTATCAAAATGTTTATTTTTGGACAGAGAAGCTAAAATCTAAGAACTTTTTGGTCTCAGCAATTCCAAAGCAAGGCAGTTATCCTCTGTGAAATAAAATAATAGCACTTCATCTCTATATTTGGTTAGGCAAATTATATATGATAATGTATCAAAGAGCACTTTAAACAAAAACACTCACTGATCTCATGTAAGATCCAGCAGAATTGCCCCACACAGGGAGAAGAGCGAACGTAAGAGCAAACAATACCTTGCCTACCACTTGGGAGTAGTAGAATACTATTGACTTTGCCAAGGCAAGGGCCAAAGTGCATGTAGTTATGGGTGTGTATTTGTATTTGTGTGTTCAAGGGTAAGGTGAAAGGTGGAGAAGATTTTTTTCTGGGACTGAGAAGGGACGGGAAATTTTCAAACTTTAATTTAGAGTCACTGATTATTACCCCCACTTCCAAAGCTTTATAAATGGACAGCAGGACTTGCTTCTTTGTTATAAGCTGAAAGACTATGGCTTTTGTTTGTTTGTTTGGTACCAGAGATAGAACTTGGGTCCTTGAGCTTGCAAAGCAGGTGCTGGAAGCCCTGGCCCCCAGGACTGTGCACAGGAAACCATCTCCAATTTCTAGAGAAACTTCAGAGGAAAAAGGAACAATAGGAAGCTCCTCGGTGTAGACGTTTAACATGAATATTAACTAAATTCATACTTGCAGAAGCTCCTGGAGTCAAATCTGCTTGTCTCCATTCCAGCATCTGAGGAGACTCTCCTGTTTTACTTTTTAAAAAATTTTATTTTATTTGTGCATGTTTGTAGTTCATGTAATTATCAATTGTCTTGGAAAACGGTTAGATATATGTATTACAGCTTGGTTCTTTTTGGTTTTTATCCTCTTCACCATCCCTCTCCCTCTTTCCCTCCTCCTGTAGGTCTCGTAACCCACTTTTCATTCTTGTTCACATTATTTGTCGTGGCTCATGTTAAGACCTGTAAAGTTTACATTCAGTGGGGTTATCAGGTCCTGTGCGCGGCATATCTTCTTTCTTTCTATTTCCTCTTCCCTGCTCCTCACCACTTGCCCTTCTTCCCTTGGACCTCCTAAGGCTCTCCTGTTATGAGACAATTATGAGAATGTTATTTTAAGGGTTGTAGCTATAAAAGTCAGTTTTGAAATGAAAGTTATTATGAAATAGTTTGTGTAAAGATTGTTATTGTAACATCTTATGTGAGCGAACACAAGACCACACCATACTTTGGGATTAAGAGGATCTACCCCTTGAATTCATTATACAGAATTGTTTGTTCTTTAATTTTTAAATTTTAGTACCAAATAAACATTAATCTTTACTAAGAGAAATCAATTTCCACAATTACTGCTAATTCAGGTAACCTTAGAAGATATTCTTTAAAAGCCATTTTAAAGACTAGCAGATGAGTATTAGGAACAAGATGGGAATCAAGAGAGGGGAGCAAAGAGAGAGTGGATAATAGTATGTTATGTGCCTGTACTATACAAATATTTCTGAATGAAACCCACTATTCTGCATAACTAATATGCACTGCTAAAAATAAATAAAAATAAAAGACTTCTAGAAGTAGATCTTCTATAGATATGCATAGTTCTCATTCTTTACTTTTCTGAGTCATTCTTTGTACAGAACTAAATAAGAGTGTTATTATGTTGCTATTCATTTTTTGTTGCTTCTGTGGTTGAAGAAACATGAATAGCTCATAAAGCAGGCAGGTGTCATAGAACAGATAAAAAATATTCCTTCTGTTCCTGAATAGCTATGCAGCATTTTGTAGTTTTATGGGAACAGCTACAGATTTGTTTCTTTTAAAATTATAAGAAGATCAGAGGATAAATATTGAATATAGTGCAAATAGTTAATATCATAAGAATAGGGAGCGTAGTGAGGGAGATCATGCAAAGCGCCTGACTGCAATAGAAGAAAACCTCATCAGAGTTCAGAGGATTTTAAACGTGAACTGTGCGTAGTTGGTATCAGTCAAAAAGTAGCATATATATCTCATAAACAGTCCAATTTCAGGTAAACTATACTTTGAATACATACCAAGAATTTGATCACAGAAAGTTTAAGCCATGGTTGAAAAATGACAAATGAAAATTATTTCAATTTGCATCCAAGGCTCCTCCCATCTCATTGAATTGTCTGCCATTTGCTTAAATATTAGTGGTAAAATAAATTAATTTTGTTTTCCATATGTTTTTGTCTGTATGTTGTAGGCCATTCATTATTCTGTATGTCACTTTATTTTCCAGTAACCGAAAGTATTTTGACACTCTTGCCTACTCTAACGCAACTTCTTTAATCTGAAATTCTAAAAACTGGGATAAAGATATTAACATCAGGGTAAATGATACAGCATGGAGATCTCTACAAATTTGAAGGTCGAATATTTTAATTTTCAGCAAATTGCTAAGGGAGAATTTAAGAAAAAAAATGCATCCTTGACATAATGTAATTATTTATACATATATTCTGTGGGACAAGATGTATAGTAAATATACATCATTTATTATATAGATGTACAAAAACAACATCAGTAGTAAAATTGTACTGTCATTTGACATAAATGGAAAAACCATTATTTTATTTTATTTTTTGTTTATTTAATGATGTCTCTTTTGAGGGGGAGGATACCAAGGATCAAACTCAGGACCTTTCACTAGTGAGTTGGGCAGCAGAACCATTGAGCCAAACCCTCATCCCCTAATAATGTCTCTTAATAACTGTTCTGTATCAACATAAGGATCTTATTTTTCAAAACTTATCACATTCCATGGTAAGTTTGTCAACAGTAATTTAAGCAATCACCTTTTGATGGGCAGATGTTTGTTTCAGCTTTTATTGTTTAAAAAAACTGCATGTGAGTTCTCTTATTTTCACTACATATTCATTTTTTTGCACAAAGTAAATATTCCTGAAGAATAAATATGTCAGAATAGTTATTAAATAAGAGAGTAAGTGCAATTTTTAAGCTTTTTTTTTTCCTTTCCTGGATGGAATCTAGGGTTTCCATACGTTAACCAAGCCCTCTTCCACTGAGTTACCTCTCCAGGTTTTACTTTTCTATTGCAAAAGTTTTCCCTGATTATCAAAATATGCAACTTTAAAAGTACCATTTAAGTATAACGTGTAGAATGCCAACATCACACCAGATCATGACTGGTAATATTTTAACACATGCATCAACTCAGAGTTGATGTATCAAATTGCCACAAATTAAGTAGCGTAAAACAATGGGTTTTTTTCTTATAGTTCTGTAGATGGCAAGCCCCAAAACGAGTCATCAGCAGGGCCCTGACTCACTGAAGGCTGTAGAGGGGAATCTTTCCTTGCCTCCTTCCTGGCTTCTGATGGCTGCTGATTATCCTTGACATTCCTTTCTTTGAAAATACAGTGCTTTAATTTCTGTCTCAGTTGTCTCAGCATCTTCCTTGTTCGTCTCTTCACGTCATCTTCTCTTTGTCTATGTACAAATATCCCTTTTCTCATAAGGAAACAAGCCATTAAGTTAAGTCACACCCAAATCCAGTATTATTTCTTTTTTATTGTATTTATTGGTACTTTTTAGGTATACAGTACAATTACATTCATCATTGGGAGCTTGTACTTTTACATGACAGATCTTGGTTCTTATTTTTTCCTCATATCCCTGTCCTCCCGTCACCCCCTCCTCCCTTCCCTATTTACAAAGACTTTGCTTCCATTTTTTCATTTTCTCATATTTTTTTCTTTTTCCTTCTTTCCTTTCCCTTACCCTTTCCACTTCCCCTACAGTATCATTTCATTTTAACTTGATTACAGCTGTGAAGATCTTATTTATTAATGAGGCTCTATTCTGAACTTCTGTGCGTACATGAATTTTGGAAGGTGTGTTATTCAATCCAGTAAAATGTGTATCTGTTCAGACATATTTGTTGTGCTAACAAAATTCTACAAGTATTCTTACTAAAAAAGGGTTTATATAGTATTTTGCAATTTATTATTTAACCTAATATTGTTTGACAGTAATCCTGTAGATTCATCTCATTTTTTTTTGTTTTTTTAATTTTATTGAGTTTATTGGTACATTTTAGGGATACAGTACAGTTACATTCATTGTTGGGATCATGTACCTTTACATGGCAAGTCTTGATTCTCATTTTTTCCCCTTACCTCTGCCCTCCCTTCACCCCCTCTTCCCCTCCCCATCTACAAACATTTTATTTTCATCTTTTCATTCTCTCACATTTTTTTTCTTTTCCCTTTTTGTTCTTCCCCTACACATCACACCTTCCCTACACCTTTAGCTCCTTTCTTCAAATTTCTAAATGTCAGTAATCTTATTAGAATCTTATGCATTGTTGCAGAATATTCACACCAGGGAAACTATTTGGTATTTACACATGTGGGACTTATTTATTTCACTTAGGAGTATATCTTCAATATGTATCCATTTTCCTATGAATGAATCTATTCTCTCGCTCTTTATGGCTGAGTAATATTCCATTTTATAGAAAAACCACAACTTCTTTATCCAGTTTCCAACGGATGGGCAAATAGGCTGTTTCCAAGATTTAGCTATTACAAACTGTGCCGCTATAAACATGGGTGCACATACTTCTCTGTGATATGATTCTTTTAGTTCTCTTGGAAAGATACCCAACAGAGGGATGGCTGGGTCAAATGGAACCTCCAGTCCAAGCTCTTTGAGGTATCTCCATATTGATTTCCATAGTGGTTGCACTAGTCTGCACTCCCACCAACAATGGAGGAGGGTTCCTTTCTCCCCACAACCCCGCCAACATTTGTTATTGTGTGATTTCTTGATAGCAGCCATTCTTTGTGGGGTGAGGTGGAATCTCAGTGTTGTTTTCATCTGCATCTCTCGAATGACCAGTGATGTGGAACATTTTTTCATATATTTTCTTGCTGCTTTCACTTCTTTGTATGAGAAATGTCTGTTCATTTCGGATGCCCATTTTTGGATCGGGTCTTTATATTTGGGGGGACTGATTGTTTTGAGTTCTTTATATATCCTTGATAATAGTCCTTTGTCTGAGGTACAGCTGGTAAAAATTTTTTCCCACATTGTAGATTGTCTCTTAGTTCTGCTAATGGTTTCTTTTGAAGTACAGAAGCTTTTTAGTAATATGAGATCCCAGTTGTTGATTCTTTCTGCTAGTTCCCGTGCTACTGAGGATTTGTTCATAAAGTTTTTTCCTCATCTCATTTTTTACAAAAGCTGTTTCTTAGTATTTTTCAACTAACCCTATATTAATAGACACTTAGGTTGATCCTAATTATTCACTTTTATAAATAATACTGTGGGTTTAGATAACAGTTTGGAAAACTATTGCTTATTAGCTGAATTTGGTCTGCTGTCTGTTTTTGTAAATAAATTGTTTTTTGGGGGGGACACAGGCAAACCTTTTTGTTTACATGCATCTGTGGTACTTTTGCACTACAATGATAATTTGTTATCAGTTGTGACTGAGATCACAGTGCCTGGAAAGCCATAACCACCTATTATCTGCAATCTTGTAGGAAGACTTTACTGACTTCTACTTTTTGAAATACAGGAGTCAGTGAGAGATTGTGGGAAATAACCACCATAATTTCTCTTTATCTCCAAATCCCAGTGTCATAAAAGGGAGATACAAGTGTTTCCTTAATACAATAAGACTTAATTTTCTGAAGGATTTACTTTCTGCAATTTGAAATCCATCACTGAAGTCCCTTCAAAGTGGTGTCTCCATTGAGTGCTCCTCACCAATGAGAATGGCAAAGGAGCCATTGTAAGGGAATGTGGGGCATTTTGGTGGGCTCTTCGGTCAACCTACTTTGGTTTTTGTGGCATTCTAAGGCCTCTCCACCCCAACTTTTCTTTCTCCTTAGTGTAGGGTTAAACTTATGGTATATAAGTTGTCCTAATCTACAATGCTTCTCGATTGCCTTTCATACAAGTATTTTACTAAAACAAAACCATGTATGTTTAAACCCATTTTGGCTTCTGCTTTTCAGAGGACTCAGGTGAAGTCGGATTGAGAGTGGTACAAGTGATTAGATGAGAACGAGGATTTACCTGGCAGCCAGAGGATGCTCTACTGATTTGTAGGAGGAGAAATATAGTGCATGACAGGATGTTGCGGCTGAATTGCTAAATATGTTAGCAGTGCAAATAAATGTGGCACTTGAAAAAATGTAAACATTTGAAAAGTATCAAGGAAGCAGCATCTACAAAAACAGTGATTATCGGCAACTCATTTTGATGCTTTATAGAAGGATAATGAAAAGCTCAGAACCACTAACCAGCATTTAATAACTAAACATGAGAACCAGAGAGTCTCGGTAGTAGCAGTGCATGAAGAGATCTTCATTACCTATAGTAGAAGGGTGGACAAAATTGGATAGCAGACTGTAGATTTAATTATGAGAGTCACAGGGCTCCAGTGATATTTGAACATTCAATTACAGCGATTCTGATTACAGCATAAGTGAGGGTCCTCAGAGAGAAAACCCAGAATCTTAAAAAATGGGGCAGCTTTTGAAGAGCGTGACTTGATAGTCTATTTTGGACCTCTGGAGAGATGCAGAGATGCTATTTACAAACTAGAAGATGTTGCAGAAGACTTGCCCTCCAAAAAAAAAAGTAGGCTCTTCCTCTCCTGGCTGCCTGGCTGATAAGTAGGGCAAAAATCACTGAGTAATATAGGTAGGGTACATTTTAGACCTCATAAGAGATTAAAAAGAGAAACATCTAGAGAATTATAAGGACAAGATGGGATATACTGGGAGGCACCAAGGCACTCTCTGTGACTGAATTTTGAAGGTGCTTAATTAAAAGCTTAGAGTATAAAGTGAGATAAGCAATCATTAACTTACTGTCTCAGGAATCCGTTGTTGGAAATTAGTGTCACCACTAAAAACTTAACAATGCAGTTATCATTAATGGTGTTATTCCACTGCCTGATTAATCCTACTCCATGCAGGAATGGGTGGGTCCTTCAGAACACCTGCAAATGACTTCAGACTTAATTAGCAGTTCTGATTATTGCTGATGTGTCAGATGTAGTTTCACAAGTAGAACAGTATATGTAAGGCCCTGTGCACATGGTAAGTGGTCACTGACTTATCAAATACATTTCTTTCTATTTCAACTAGAAAGCTGAATCATCAAGAGCATTGACATGGAACAAATATTTATTTATAGTTGTTTCAAAGCTCTGTCCTGTATAGCGATATATATATTCCGTAGAAATCCAGACTCCCATCTATTCAACTGTAATATCTATTATGTTGTAGGGAAGATGAACCATTGCCTGATACATTACAGGGACAGCTTGGACATGTGCACTCCTGAGTGTGGAGGATAAATCCTACAAAAAGCCAGGAACTGGCTGATTCAATGATGTTTTTAAGAGCCCTGAAATCAAGAAAGCACTAAGATATTCTCTCCAAATCAGAAGACAAATTATATTTTGCAGGAAATATTCCCCTTCCTCCACTTCTATAAAGAGGGGAGAGCAGAGTTTAATAATCCTCTGTAAAGTTGATTTGACACATCCCACACCTAGGAACACTACTTCAGCCAAGTGACCTGGAAAGCCGGCAGCTTTAACTAGAAGCAAGAAACAGTAGGCCCAGGCTTTTGTGCAATTACCTTTCCTGCTTTCACTGTATGACCAGGGAAACCTAGGTTATAGGAATATCTGTGGCAAGACAGGGACTAATGGCAAGTTCCAGTAGGAGTACCACAGTGTGGATTCTGAAATTTTGGAGTGAGGCCACACTGTCCCTAGTAGCAGAGAATTGCTTGCCTTCTTTTTCTCTTTTGATACTGGGAATGAATCCAGGGTCTTTGCACTGATATACATTCCTATGTAAGACTTGAATAAGCGAAAGTGGCTCCATGCTAATAGGCCAGAGACTGTGCTTCTTCATATGCTAATTGCTAACTTGGCTGACAGCCGGCCCAGGGGCAAATGGTTACTGCATAAGATAAGCAGTGTGTTTGAATTCTTGGTCCTCTGGTAGTTCTGTGAATGCCCTGACCTATGTTTGAACTTTTTGTTTAGAAAAATCCTATAAAAAAGACCTCAGCCCCAGAGCAGTTTCCTCTCTGAGCTACCTGGCTCCGGGAGTGCCATCGGGCCAGACTAATAAAGGTCTGTTTACCATCTAGCCTGATGTGCTCCTTCCTGGGTTTCTCATTTCTCCCTTGAGCTCCCAGAGCCTCGCTGGGTTTCAGGACCCAGCATCGTGGAGGCCTTTTAGGTAGACTTTAGGTCTTAAACCTAATACTTTCTTGCATTTTACATTGAGACAGGATCTTATTAAGTTGCTAAATTCCCCAGTCTGGTTTCAATCTTGTGATTCTCCTTTCTCAGGCCCCCAGATTTCTAGGATGACAGATCTGTACCACCATAACTGGCTTTGCTTGCCTTTTGATACTGAACCCTGGTAGAGATAAAACAAACCCAGACAACGTGATAATGAGCTTCCAGGATGTTTCAGAATGATCCCTGCTTTGTGGAACTCAAGCTCTTTTGCATTTTTTTTTGTACCTGGGATCAAACTCAGGACCTTGTTCTTGCAAGGCAGGTGGCAGAACCATTGAGCTAAGGCCCCACCCTTTGCAATTTTGTTACACTTTGTGTGGGGTTAGTCTTCCTGACCAATAGACTTTAGCTATGTGGGTGTGTCTTCTTAGTAGGGAGAGGGGAGGGAGGGGAGAAAAAAAGGATAAAAAGGAATTAAGATGTTATGTAACTGTACCAACTCCACACAAAGAATATAAACATTCTGTATTGCAAATATGTACTAATAGAAAAAGTTTTTTTTTAAAGTGGATCCAGCAGCTTTTCTTAAGTGTTCAGATGTCTTCAGTCCCCACTGACACCTACCCTTGCACCTAATGAAAGAAAAACAAGTCAGAGCCACCTGCCAAGTTGCACCCAGATTTCTGATTCTCGAAAACTTTTTGAGATAATAAGTGTTGTTGTTCTAAGTTGTTTTGTTTTAGGATTCTTTCAGTAATTCTTTATTACTTATTTTTCCTTTGACAAAAAGACACTGGGAACAAATACATTTAAAATGACATGACATTTTTTATAATGGACAAATACATATTTTCTGGATATTGTCTACAGGAAAAAAAATTATAATGATATCTGCAGAATCACAGTCATTCAACACAATTCCTACCTCTAAAAAAACACAAAAGTTTAATTTTTAAAATTGTTCTTTAATTTTTAGCAACATTCTCAGAAACAAGATCCTTATTCAAATAAGTGATCTACGACTACCTAGGAGACAGGACACTGTGAAGAGGAAAAAGTCATTTTTGCCATGAACTCTGCATCAGCACAATCCAGTCAGTACTAGGGAAGTAGTGTACTGCTGCTAAATTTTTTAAAAAGCATGATGACAGCCAATTTCCTGAGAGTTGTCACTTGATCAGGTGGTGTACAATGACAAGTATACCAGATTCCTTCCAGCAAGAAAATACTTGTTAAAAACAAAGACTTTGGAAACAGTAAACACAAAGAAAACTGAAGCACATATGAATTCTCCAGCAAGACAAGAAAAGATAATATTTATCACTTACACTGCAATTTTCCATGTATTTGAAGAACACGAGCACAGATGCGGAAGTCATCAGTGGCCCTGTGCCATCCACATGTCCCTATTAGACACACAGAGAAAGAGATATCTTAAGATCCCTCTTTTGTAGTTCATAGTTCCATTGAAGTACAAATCCGTCAGCACTTTCTGGAGTGCTGGCTTGGTGGGCCAAGTTATTGTCAGGTGGTGTTATTTTCCATCCACTGCCGGGATTCTTGCTGGGACTCACAGCCTACACACTTCCTCTGCACAGGCATTTGGCCACCTTGCCTCGTATTTCCTTCATCTTTATACCATAGATGACAGGATTGAACACTGAGGGTAAGAGAAGGTAGAGGTTGGCGAGGAGAATATGGGTGTGAGGTGGAATGTTGCGACCAGTGCGGTGTGCAATGGAAGAAAAGAGAGCAGGCACATATGTGATGAGGATGACAAAGAGGTGGGCTGAGCAGGTGTTGAGGGCCTTGAAGGTGGCATCTCTGGACTTAAGGCGTATCACAGCCTGAAGGATGAGGGCATAAGAGAAACCAATGAGCAGTAGATCAAGTCCTACCACAAGCAAGATCACAAAGAGTCCATACATACGATTGGGTCTGGTGTGGCTACAGGCCATTTTCACCACAGCCATGTGGTCACAGTACGTGTGAGGAATGACCATGCTGCAGAAAGTCAACTGTTGAAGCAAAAGAGGTATGGGCAGGATAAGAATCACAGCCTTGGTGAGAGCCATCAGTCCCAAGCGTCCAATTAGAGAAAAGCTCAGAATTGTGTTGTAGCGTAATGGCTCACACACAGCCACAAAGCGGTCGAAGGCCATCGCAACAAGTAGAGCTGATCGTACCACAGATGCTCCATGGATGAAAAACATCTGAGTGAAACAGGCTTTGGCAGCTATGTCTCGATCATTGAACCAGAAAAGGCACAGGAGCTTGGGCATCAGAGCCAGAGTGGATATGAGGTCAGCCACCATCAGCAGAGCCAGGAGCAGGTACATTGGGGTATGAAGTGTGGGCTCTGTGACCACCAGGAACAGGATAGCACCATTGCCAATGAGGATAGCCAAAAACATGGAGGAGAAAGGAACTGATAGCCACAGGTGCTGTGACTCTAAGCCAGGTATGCCCATCAGCTTGAAAGTCACAAAGCTGGAATGGTTGAAGATTAGCATGGCAGCAACCATCGTTGGCTGTTAAAGAAAATTTAAACACCTGCTCATGAGACAAAGGTGGTGGGTTGTTTTTATCAACAGCTTCTAAAGACTGGCTGAGCTGGGTACCAGAAAAACATGGCAGAATGCCTCTTTGGAATCATGAAATCTGCAATCTGGTTTTAGATCTATCTCTGAACACCTTTATTGTTTTCATAGTGCAGTCTTTATGGGGCTTTGACTTCTTATCCTTTTATCGGATATTGTAGTGGACCTTTATTCTCACCACCCCAGATCCACAATGTGATACTTAAACTTTTTTCTTAAATTCTGAGTAAGAATAGGGAAGTCCTGTGTCTTACTCTTAACAAGGCTGATAGTTCATCTAACTAAATGCGATCCACCTCAAGAGTTAGTGGAGTCTTTCAGCCCATTCAGAAATCATAGGCTGTTGTAAAAAAACAATTTTTCTTTTCACATTACTTTCTCCCTCTAACAGAAACTAGGCTATGCCCTGAGCATATTGCATTCTGTACAACCAGATGTTGCTTTTATGAATTTAGTTCCTCACAGACTACAGCTCTTGAAAGTAGAGTATGTGTCAGATCGTCTTACTCTCCACTGCTTTTCAGACCTGTGCTTCTCTTTCCATTTTGAAAACTCAGGCCCTTTTGAAACATGAGTTGTCAGCTCATCCTACATTTACCTGTTGTGTTCTCGATCACCTTTCCTCGTCTGGCCCCATTTTAGTACCGTCGTCGTATGTAGTTATCTTTTTTGCTGCCCCTCTTTCTGTCACTTCTTACATAATTTTTTCCATAATTAACTCATATTAGCAATCAAACAAGGAACTTTGTATTTTATTTCTTGAACCCCTCACTTCCTATAGACTTTTTCATACCCCACCTCAGCCCTTCACAGTATTGTTAATAATTCACTAGAATAACTGCACCACCTTCAGAATCTCATTTTTAAGAACCCAATCTCTTCTGTGTAGCTCAGGTTTTCCAAATTTACTGTTCCCAGCATCTTTTAGTTCAATAATTCCTTGACTCTGTAAGTTTTTTGTAACCCATCAATGCCAGCACCATTTTTAGGGGTCTGTTACCCTTTTACTTCCTCACCATTTCCATTGCTATAATTATTTGCTCTTGTTTAACCTTCTTTGTTCTCTTCCTTACACATACTAATATAGTAAAGGTACAATTCTAGCTGAGCTCATTTCTGTCTGTTCTGTACCTATACCTGAGCAACTAAACATAACTTCCAAGAAGCCTAGAACCACGACTGATGGTTTTAATTTAACCACAATTCTCAGGTGAGTTCTTAGAACACTCAGGAACCACAGTGTGTTTCTATCCACACCGCTATTCTATTAGACATTTTACTGTCTCTTTTTGATCTTCCAGCATTTCTGCCTCCAAATCTGAGGATGATCTTTCTCTTTTCAAGAAAACAGAACAAATCAAAACAGAATCTGCTCATTCCCCCAGCACCCACTGAATTGATACCCACACACTGGGTCTTCTTATCTTCATAAGAATGACTTGCCACATTCTCATTTGAGGAATATTCATCTGCTTCCGAACGGAGTCCCATTTGTTTTGTCTCAATCAGAAGCTGTTCCTGCAGTACATCACCTCTGCAATGTCACTGACATTCCCTTTTCCAACGATGTTTCCACTCTGCTCACATTCACCGTCACAAATGTAGCTGGATGTCTTTAGCTCTCCCCTGGACCCCTGATGGAGATCTCCATTTGTCTTTGCACTTTTCTCTTTCCTACACAATCCTTATTGTCTACAGAGCTGTCATATTATCTTTAAAATTTTTGAAATTATAAAAAAAAATTTGAAATTATAAATAACTCTCCATGGCTTGCTTTTATAGATAAACAATAAACTCAGATAGACAAAACCATCTACCATGATGGACAAAGCCCTGTGAGAAATGCTTTCGCCATGGACGCTCATGTTAGTCATGATAAGCAGAGCAGCACCTGGCTTCAGTTCACTGCTTCAACTTTATCATCCGACTCTCCCCTATTCTTGATACCATTCTTAAGATCATACCCACACTTCATTCTCGATCATGCCACTCTTCTCTTAGTGTGAGGAACTTTGCTGCCCAATGACTGACTGCCTGTGCAGTTCTATGTCACACAAACCTTCACATCATTTACTCCCTATTTTTGATGCTAAATCTGGGGAACATTCACTGCTCTTAAATTTCTGTTTTAGTTATACTAAAGTACACATCATTAAAAAAAATCAGGGTCTTGCTATGTTGTACGGTCTGGTCTTGAATTCTTGGGTTCAAGGGGATCCTCCTACCTCACCTTTCCAGAAAGGTGAGAATACAGGTATATGCCACCACTCCTGGACCTACATGTTTAAAAAAAACACTTTGTTTCTAAATATCTTTATTAGAGATTCTAAAGGTGATTCATAGTCTTGGCTACATATCGGGAACACTGAGAAATTTAACAATCTTGACACCCAGCTGAATCAGACACCAACCGAATCAGAACTTGCAGAATTGGATCCTAGGAGATTACATTCTGTAGAGCTTGTGGGGTTATTTCCCTGTGTGGGCATGTGGACTATGACCAGTCCAAGAGCTAAATTAGAAACTGTAGTTGCAAGCATGCATAAAACTTGGTCCTCCTTCCCTTCTTTTTATCCACTTTTTTTTGTCCCTTTGCTTCTCCCCATTTTTCATTGTTCTTTGTTCAGCAGGTTAATTGACTTATGATGAACAAACAGCAACAACAGAGTTTATAACTGTGTAAGTAGCAACACATGCTGTAACTGAGCTGTAAAAGAATGTATAGAGCAGGAAGGAATCCTTTTTTATACCATGGCATGGAAAATTTTAGAGAAGTAAAATTTGTTACTGCCTGAAACAATGATGATTCATTCATTCAAATGAAAATCATTCTAAATAGAGGAGGAAAAGTAAAAAAGACACAATATGAGAAAATGTAGCTGCACATAAAGAGGATATGGAGTGTGATATGGAGTCCTGGGGACAAGGTCAGAAACCAACCACTGACAGCCTCTGTTGTCTAGAATGTTTTCCACATCCCTCTTTTCTCTTGACGAACATGTTCAGCTCACCCCTATCTTCTCTTTTACTCTCTTGCTCCCATCATGGCTTTGCCTATATCTGCTGTGCTTCTCTTACCTGACCCTCAAGCTACACTTCCTTCCTTTCAACAACTGGTGTTTAGTAAGTACTCACTATGAGGAAAGATTTGTAAACTTACACCACTTTGACATATGTGATAATATTTCTGCAGTTGTTGTTGTTGTTACAGTACTGGAGATGGAACCCAGGACCATTGCATTGAGCTATATTCCCAGCCCTTCTTAAAATTTTTTTTTTTAAATTTTGAGACAGAGTCTAGTTGAATTACTAAGTTGCCCAGACTGGCCTCATGTGATCTTAAAGTTCTGGATTTTTGGATGGTTTACTCCCTCACTCCTTAAAGACTTCTGTACAGTTTCTCTGCTTTCAAAAAAAAAAAGGCAGTAATTTCAGCGTCAGAAGGTAGATATATTGCATAGATAGAGAACAAATGCAAGTGAAATAGACTCACCGAGGGCTACAACTAGAAGGAGCTTATGGAAAACATTTTACTGAAAGATAGGAGTGTGACAGAAATTGTTTTAATTATTTAAATCATAATTTACCTGAAAATGTTCCACTCTGGTCTTACCAATGTTTTTTCTTTTGGGGATTAGAGCATTTCTGTTTGTAAGTCACAGAGTGAATCTGCCTCTCTTAGGCTTCATGAAGCATTATTTCTCATTTTTTGCCTGAGTTAGGAAGAAAAGTTTGCTGGGAGAAGCTCACTGCCCACGGTGGTCTTCTCCTGTGTTTCTTTCTTGCAAAACAATACATATATGAGTGTTGTTGTTACAGTTGGGCCAACTCTTGTACTATATAAGGGAAAATTTGAACCCTATGCCTTTGTCATTCAAGAACCTGGCGTATGCACGACTCCCCAGAGGTCAAGGAAAAAGAGAAGTAAAAATGGCTCATTGGGGCATCCCTTTGGGCCTTTTTTCCAAGGGCAACAAGACTTGAAAAGCGAATCCCAGAGAATCACTTTGATCATTCCCAGTTTTTATATCATGCTATCTTTTTATGCTTGTGAGTTGTAATACTTCCCACTTTTGTCAACATAAGAACAATGTTTGGGTAACATTTTTACCCTATAAAGACAGAACTTTCTTTAATAAGCTGGGTTTCACAATTAAACTTTCTTCTCTTTTGTTAGTAATACTGTTCTTTATTTTGAGACGGTAGAAAATGGTAAATTTTGCTGGTTCGTTTTAATCTGATTTTCTATTGGGCAGTTTTTCTATCCTTGTCAAGCACAATATTACCGTGAGCCTTTCTTAATTATGAAATTACACGTATAATATACTGAAGAGCCATAAAATACATATAATATCCTAATTGTAATATAGATGAGCGATAAAATAATTTGTAATGTATGTAATAATTATATATATAATCCAGATCATGCATGTGTAAACATACCCATTTGTTTAATACATAATGTATAATAAAAGATAATATATCTTTTAATAAGTAATCCTCAGGCATGAAAAGAACAGAAAACTCATGAAGTCAAAAGTTAACCTCTAACAGCACAACTGCAAATTTAGATAGAAGTGAATAGTATGGAGTCCTTAAATAGAATACGCTCCATGGCCATCAGTGACTGAACATATCTTGATAAAGTTCTGGACACACTAGGGCAGAAAGAATTTTCAATGTAATGAGTTTTTCGAAAAAAAATCCATCACTATTAAAGCTGTACATGACAGTATGTGTTATCATCCAGAAATATTACTTTCTCTTTCCCTCTGTGTGGAATGTGCTTTCCCAGCTCACTGAGGTGAAACTGAACCACTACTTGCTTTGCACAGTGATATATTTTCAGAGATGATGCAGCATAGGCTTTAAATATATATATGTGGCTGTATTTGGCAATATGAGCTAGGGAT